CCGGGACCCTATGACTATTGGAGAGCAGGAAAGTGCCGCTGGGCCCTGGGTCGCTGTGGTGATCCGGCCATCGGTAAGTAGAAAAGTGCGGCCTGTAGGCAGCCCCCAGCTGCGCCTGATCCGGGAGCAGGAAAGCAAGCCCAGCCTGCGGGCAGCCCCAAACTTTGCCTGCTCCCCAGTTGCCATGGTGATCTGGGAGCAGGAAAGCCAGCCTGGCCTGAGGGCAGCTCCCAGCTGGGCCTGATCCGGGAGCAGGAAAGCAAGCCCGGCCTGTGGGCAGCCCCCAGCTGCACCTTCCCCCTGGTCGCCATGAGGATCCGGGAGCAGGAAAGCAAGCCTGGCCTGCGGGCAGCCCCCAACTTTCCCCGCTCCCCGGTCGCCATGGTGATCCGGGAGCAGGAAAGCCCGGCTTGCAAGCAGCACCCCCATCCTGGCCATAGCTCAAGGAAGAGTACAACATGCAGTGGAGGCCAGGAGCCTGAGAGATCAACACAGAGGGGCTCCTGCTTCAAGCCTCCATGGTGTGGCTGGGGGAAGGCCCCCGGCAGACACACACACACACACACACACAGTGCCTGCTCTGAGCCTCCAATGTGGCTGGGGACAGACCCCCAGTGGGGTCTCACATACACTCACACACACAGCAACTGCTTCGAGCCTATGTGGCACGGCTGGGGGCAGGCCCCAGCAAACACACACACACACACACACACACACACACACACACACACACACGGGACGCCTGCTCCGAGCCTCTGCTGCCAGACTGTGGCCATCAGTAGGACATCCACTGAGGGCTCCCGCTGGGCTGAGGGAACCCCACACCCCAGTGCACGAATTTCGTGCACCGGGCCTCCAGTATATATATAAAAGCCTAAGTGACTGAACAATGGAATGACCAAACAACCGGTTGCTATGACACGCACTGACCACCAGGGGGAAGACAATCAATGCAGGAGCTGCCCCCTGGTAGTCAGTGCACACCCACAGCCAACCTCTAGTGGCTGGCCAACCTCCTGTGGTTCCTCCCCACAACCAGCCAGTCCCCCCATCAGCCCCAATCATCTGGCTGGCCAACCTCCCGCAGTCCCTCCCCCCAGCCACACCTCTCCATCTGCCCTGATCACCAGCCTGGCCGAGGTTCCCACCAGTGCACAAATTCGTACACCTGGCCTCTAGTATGTGCATATTTTGCCTTCATAAAAATAAAAACTGATCCTATCTTGTAAGTGTTTGTACTCCACATACTGGTGGTTTATTACTAGGTTCTCCTCCACGCTGAAGTGAGTTTATAAAGAAGAATATCTTTTTTCATTTTACCAGTGGCCCATTGCTGGTCAGACTCATTATTTCTTGACTATTTTCAATTTAGTTAAATCCAATATATTTATGGAATGCCTCTTAAGTACAATAATGATAATCTTTATTTTCTCTGTGATATCCTCATACTTTGCAGGTTTGTAGGATGAAAGGAGTACAGGAGTTAAGGGTGATAAGGAAGGATTAAATGACTGCTCACATATTCCAGGGTATGTAGAAGCTCCCATGGGACAAAGAAGGATCAATTATAAATGAAAATTGAAACGGAGAAATTGAAAGTATCTGGGAGGAGACCTAGATTCAATCAGACTACATCAGAGATATGGCACAGGAAATTTTATAGATGAGGACATTTTGATGGGAGAAATAGTATCAAGGGAGAATCAAGGCAAGTACCCAAGAATGATGAAGGATAACCATGGAATTTATGGACCATAGAGGTGGGTATTTTTAGTTAAGTCTAGCAGGAGATAATATAACATGAATTCAAATAAGGCTTGAAGTGTGGTCCATAAGACAGAAATACCAGTGAAGTGGAAGATCTGCTTAATCTACACTGAAAGAGGGAGAAAGGAGAAAATGCACCCTCTAAAGGAAAGAGCTCGTCAACTAAGAATCCTATGTCTCACATAAAAATATGCTAATGAAAAGAGAACATTATTTGCACTGGAATAAGTTTTCTGTAAGTTATGACACATATCATAATGGGGAAGCATCAGGCAAGAGGTATAAAAATATGAACTGAAGTTACACCAAATGGCTATGGCATCCCAGAAAAGAGCGAGAGCGAGAGAGAGAGAGAAGAAAAAGAAATGTGAGACAGATTTATGATCGAAGATGAAGTGGAGGAAATAAAATCACAAAACCAATATGAAGATTACTATCGCACCAAAATGTGGAATACATGGGGCGAGGTAGCAGACATATTCATGTGACCCCAGTTCTCTTAAAATGGATAAACTCAAGCAGGTGATTTATCCTTTCTCTTACTTACACCCTTCTTTCTTCTCCCAATATACTACACAGTGACTGCTTGAGGGCTAACCTAAGTGTGTCCTGGGTGTTTTCCTCTAATTTACTAATTATCCTTAGGTAAGAGATTCAAACTCCCCAAAGTATCTTTTATTGAGGCAATAGCAATGACTAAAAATGCGGGGATTTGGTGTAAAACCCTTAATTTCTTATTTATTTGTTCATTTATTTATTACATTGATCAGGGTGACACTGGTCAACATGAACATATAGGTTTCAGGTGTGGGTTTCTATGTTAGAAGATCTGTATATTGCACCATGTGTCCACTACCCAGGGTCACATCTTCTCCTGTCACCTTATATTAGGACTCCCTTCTCCCACCATCCCCTTCCCTCTGGCAGCTACCATGCTGTTGTTTTTGTTCATGAGTTTCAGGTTTATGAATGAAATCATATGTAAAACCCTTAATTTCTAAGATTTCTCTATATCTATGTGAAATAAATAAAAAGGGAAAGAAAAAATCCTGAACTAATAAAATAAAGGCTTGAACCACTCTCATCATACAATATACATAAGATATTAGTAACTGTTAAATTACAAAAGCTGTTTTACAGTTCAAATATTATATGATGGAGGTGAAAATACTTTCTGGGTGGTTAATTCATAACAATCACTTACCTTGTGGCTGACGACTAGGATGGTATATCTGAAGGTCAAATGGCTGTGCACTGGTTTTCTGAATCACACTGACATTCTGCCCTGTCCACTTATTGGCTTTGGACAAGGTGTTGGTCCTCCAGTCAGTCCAATAGACCTCACTCCCATACAGAGACACAGCAAAGGGATGAGAAAGGTATTCGTGACCACGGATGATTTCTATCATTCCTGTTCCATCATAGAGGGCTGAATAAATAGCATCTGACCTACAGAAAGGTAAATACTTCAGTAGTTTATCAAAATTCACTCAAATAGTATAGTGATGTGATTTTATTTTTTAGATAAATGATGAAAATATTTTTGTGAGCCTGTATCTAATTTGTGCCAGGAAAAAAAAGCCATCATAACAAAAACAAACAAAAGCCACCAATTGCCAGAAAATCATCGTTATAATAAAACCAAACAAAAATCACCACCTATTTCAATGTTGTGTATACATCATGCATGAATATTAGAAAACGTTTTGGATATGTAAATATTATCTGAGGAAGGTAACAGAAAATACAGAACAAAGATTCTTTTTTAAACCTGGCATCTGTCCAAACTATCCTTTTTTCAAAGTGGTCCACAGTTAGTCCATTAGGCCACGCCCCAGTTTTCATGTCTTTGTAGATGGTTTTTCTCCCAGCACCACTCATCGAGGCAGATTCAATGCGAGGAAAATTGGCATCCCAATCCGTCCAGAAGAGAATTCTGAAGAAGAAGAGAATGCTATTGTTTCAGTCGTTCATTTCACAAATACTTATTTAAAGCCTACTATATAAGCACTGGCTAGGTAAACGGACACAAGAGGAAAATGATGCATTGTCTACCCTCCTGGGGTTTAGAGTCCAGTGGAGGAGACAGACTAAATAAACACACGAATACATAAATATGTGATTACAGCTTCTAAATATTTTAAAGAAAGTTTGTTATTAGAACAGCAAGTGAATAACCTACTTAGAGACGGCGGTCAAGGAAAAATGCACTTAGAGGAGGTGATAGTCACACAGAAAGATGAGGAGGGCAGGACAAGAGCATGCCAAGGAAAATAAACAGCAGATATAAAGGCAGTAATGGGGGAGAGGGGTGTGGTCAACTTGAACAGAAATAAGGCCAATGTATCAGAAATATGGTGAGTGAGGAGCAAAGGAAAAGAATATAAAGTTGAGGGTGATTTTATGTGTCTTGTGCATTAAGACAATTATTTGGAATTTTATTGAAAGGGAATATGAAGCACAATTAGGCAGAGAGAAACATGATATTATATATAAATGGATTATAGTGAGACAAGGGTTTGCTATGTCAGGTGGTTATTACAAAAGATTAGTCAAAGATGATAGTGGTTTGGATGGAGTATGGTGGTAACATGATGAAAAAATAAGTGGATTCAAAACACATTTTGAAGGTAGAATTGCCAGGCCTAGCTGATGATTGAATGTAGGATCTGAGGTGAGAATGGACTCAAAGGTTTTTCTTGTTTTCGCAAACTCAGAGTGAGAATAGGGAGAGGGCATGCAAGAAATCCATTGAGTGATATGGGGAAAATGATGAGAAACAGATTTTAAGAGCTGGTAACTGAGTGTGGGTGGTGTGGATAGCAATCACAAATTTAGTTTTGATTTTTTTGGTGGTGAGATTTAAAGGCAACAAGAAAGACATGTCCAGGAATCTGTATGATATGTCAGGGAGAATGTCAGAGAAGAAGTCATGAGTGTGGAAGTCATCAGCTTGGAGATGATATTTAGATTCATACAATTGGAAAAGATCATATAACAGAGGATCTAAAAGAAAAAGAGATAGAAATCATATACATTGATATATACAAATATGCGATTGTTACAATACACGTTTTTTTTTTAATATATTTTATTGATTTTTTACAGAGAGGAAGGGAGAGAGATAGAGAGTTAGAAACATTGATGAGAGAGAAACATCGATTAGCTGCCTCCTGCACATCTCCTACTGGGATGTGCCCGCAACCCAGGTACATGCCCTTGACCGGAATCGAACCCGGGACCTTTCAGTCCGCAGGCCGACGCACTATCCACTGAGCCAAACCGGTTTCGGCTACAATTCACGTTTTTAAGTTAAAGACCATTACTTTTTGTTTAACCAAATACTAAGTGTAACTCTAGAAATTCATGGTACAGAAACAGTTCCACACAATAGGCATTCAGTGCTATGTATCATAGATTTTATTTTTAAAGCTATCACGTAATGGATGGTTTATGTTTAACTGACAGTGGCCTAAACTGCTTATGCATGTTTCTATAGTTTTTATATAACATGGGTACATAGCAGTTCCACAATCATTACAACAGCTAATATTGTTTTGAGAGCTTACTACATGCTACCTACTATTTTTAGCTTTATAGAGATTATCTCATTTCCTTGACCCTGAGGCTATGGCTAGTTATCAGTGTTTTACAGATGAGAAAACAAGCTTAGAGAAGTTAAATTACTTGATCAGGGTTACATAGCTAGCAAGTGGCAGATGGAGATTGGGAACTAGACAGCCTAATTTATATCCTTATTATATATTTTATATATAAATCAATAATCATATATATATATATATATATGAGAATCATTGATTGGCTGCCTCTTGCATGCCCTACATTGGGGATTGGGCCCGAAACCCAGGGATGTGCCCTTACTGGGAACTGTGACCTCCTGGTTCATAGGTCATCGCTCAACCACTGAGCCATGCTGGCCGGGCTATGTTCTTAGGCTTTTAATATCTAACTCGTTAATGCCATTAAATAAAATAACAAAGGGAAAGCATCTAGTGCAGGGTCAGAGCATGGCTAGTTGCTTTCTCTACTTTGGTAGTAGAGTCCAATGTGTAGCAGGGAGATTTGGTAAAGGAGGACACAAAAGACCAGAGGCAAACTGACAGTCCAGTAAATTTTCTTATTATTAGTTCTGAACACATTTTGGTGAGAAGTGGTAAAATTATTGGTAAGAAAATTTGTTATAATTGCACACATTTGCTATTTTTCAATACTTCCATTGTTTTAATTGATCCTTATTTGATAGATTACCTTGAAAAATAAAACAATACTCTGGAACAAAATTTAGAATCCAATTAAACCCATCTTCTTATTAAAAAGTTATGATGCCTATATAAGGAAATGTTGAGTGATATAAAACTATTCATTTTGCCTTCAATTTCTGAGAAACATTTGGTCTCTTTTAGAATATAAGAATTGCAAATTTGAAATGATTAGAGGGCAATTCAAAATGTTATATAATCAATTTAGTAAGTATATGTGCTAAAAGAGTGTGGTGAACAGCGAAGGAAGATATGGACCTTGACAGGAATGGAAGTTCAAGAAATGTCATTAAATGATGTGTCAATGCTGAATTATGGCAATGTATATGTTTTTCGGTCAGACCAACTTGCAATCAAGGTTGGGATCTGTCACACCAGCATAATTAATCTCAGACTCCATCATCTCTTCTGTAAATGATAAAGTATAACAGTCACAATTGTTGGGATCATTTCATGAGGTGATGGATGTAAAAAATTTATTGAACAAGATGGCTAGCACATAGAAAATAGTTGTGTTTGTACAAGCAAAAACATGTACATATTCATAGAGAATATTTAAAAGATAAAACTTCATTCTCTCCAAACTGTTAAAGAAATGAGGAGAGAATTTTAAGTAATGCTAATGTCAAAATTTAAGTGTTACAGTAGCATGTAAATGACTAGATTCACTTTATAAAGTAACCATGAGTCAAAGCCATGAGAAAAGAATTCAGAGGAGTAGGTCACAAGATTTGGTGTATATCATAGCATGAATCTCAAATAATGAGTTTATATATATTTTTAATAAATTTAGGTTCATGGGTAGCTTTAGGAGGTTCCACAACCCTGGTGGTGGGACCATATGCACAAAACAACATCCAAATTATTCATTGTTTAACCGCCAAATATTTGAATAAATTAATTAAACTGCTGTGAAATAAATGTAAATATTATTATACCAGGACAATGTATTTATATTGAAGTTTTGTGAAGGAGTTTATTATGCAATTCCTTTTAATTGGTGTATTTGAACATTTTTATAATAAAGATTTAAAAGTGAGAATAACTAAAAATTAAATACATAGATAATTTTTTTAAAATGTAATAGAGGACATTTATAAAATCTTCCTGTTGGGAATTTTATTTCTGAAAAGACTAATGTTTAAAGATAGAATCATTTTGTGTGAAAAAATACTAATCTAGAAATATAAGCATAAACTAACTTATAAGCAACATATATACAGAGAAAAATAGATATATAAATATAGGTAGATACATAAAATATGTTTCCAGTTAAAATGGAAGAAAAGTTAATTAATATGAAGCTGGTAGGCTATTTAATTAAGTAGTTGAAAGTTTTATCTTAAAAACAATGAATATAAAATGAATTATATGTTTCTCTGCAAATTTACTTTTCCATGCACACATCTTTTCAGTGACACAAGTTGTTATTTATTATCTTTCCTTTAAACTTGGTATTCAAAAAATAATATTTAAAATAAAAACAAGAGCAATATAGCACCAATCAAATTTATGGTGATATCTTGATAAACAAGGTAAAGTAGAGAGACTTTGCAAATTTGAAAAATAATAGTGAAAATAATCCCTAAAACAAGCACAGTGAATTTGAGAGTCATAGGTACTCTGCGTACCTGTGAATAAGCCACCACCAGATCTAGACAAATGGAGATCCAGTGTCTCCCTTGTAACTTTCTACCTGAAAAAAGTCTGCCTTATGTGGGTGTGGCAACTCCAACACACGTATCAGCAGCCCTGCAAATCTGCGTGCTCTGTGTGTAACTTTACCAAAAAAAGGCACTGTAGTCTTGTAAACAGATGTTTCCAGTGGACTAAAGAAAATATGGTTTGGGACAATTTTCAGCACTCTAAAATGAGTGAGCCCTTCATTTTTTTACTAAATATAGCTACATTAAATTGTTCTCCTGTAGTGGTCACTATGACACTAATCTTTCATCAATTCAAGTGGGAAATTTCCAACACTTTTTATAAAATAACATGTTCTAGAATTAGTTCCCCTAAAATTATTCTTAATCTTGCCATATGTCAGTTTACAATCAATTTAAAAAGTTGATTTCAAGGATCATTGTTTCATAAAATTCTAGGCACTCTTGTGTATATTCTACAGAGTGGTATTTCCAGAGAATATTTTTTCCATATTAGTTTCTTTTTATTGTTAAAATGTATCAGCATTTCAATGATCGCACTATTTCTTCACATATACAAAGACTGAATATCCTTTTATACAGGACATATGGAAATGTTGAGCCACATTGCTTTTAAAAAAGAGAATACAGTCTACTGACTCTACAGTTCCTGCATTCATGGGTTAGTCTGTATCAGAATTAAATTAGGCCAATAGACCATGAACAAATTGTACCATCACAGGCATGAAAAGGCCATTATCATCTATCAAGCTGCAGAAGGTGAAAATAAATGATCTTGGCAAAAAAGGAGGTTACTTATCTATACTGTAGGTCTACTTAAACCAATGATGCTTTTATTAGCTTTAAGAACACTCCCAGATAAAATTAAAATTTTATTTAGATGTCTTATTAATCTTCACAATTATTATATCTGCTTTCAGCAATTGCAATTGTTATAGTAGAGTCCAGTTATTCTGACAAAGGAAAACTAAATGCCAGAGGTGGAGCAGGAAGACGCAAGAAGAAGGGCAACGGAAGTTTGAGCACTGAAGTGAGTGCTGCTTGATGTATTCTGAAGTCCCTGGTGCTTATCTATACTAATAAAAGGGTAATATGCTAATTAGATCAGGAGACCTTCTGGGAGACTTTCTGGACATCCTTCCGAACAAAGCCATTGTGGTGGGGCCAAGGCGGTGGGGGGGCAGTTAGGGGTGATGAGGCCGGCAAGGGGGCAGTTGGGGGTGATCAGGCAGGCATGGGGGACAGTTGGGGGCAATCAGGCTGGCAGGGGGTTGTGGGAAACTGTTTATTGCCTTCACTATCTGATAAGCGTAGACAGAGAACCCCCCCCCCCCCCAGGGCGGGGG